GTCCGCTTCGTGGGTGTCCTTTAGGCAGAATATGCAACGGATGAGGTTCCCGTTACTATCTCGTACGGAGTGGATTCCAGTTTCAAACCTCCTCGTTTTACACCTTCTGAGTCCCTTCAACTTGTTCTCTATGGCCAACAATTCCATTTCGCCATCGACTCTCTTCTTTTTCTCCTCTCTCGGTCTCTCTTCTTCCGGTTTCCTTTTCCTTTCGAAGCTGGTGGTGGGTGTTTGGAGTGCTGGTTTTTCTGAATCCGAGTCTGTGATCCTCAAGTTGTCCTCCTCCTTTCCGCCTTTTTCGCTGATTTTCTTGACTAGGACCAGTTGCTGAATTTGGGCCTCGATGGCAACTTCGATTTTCGCTTCTAAGTCACTCTTGGCTTCTTTTATCGCTTTTATGATCTCATTCTTAATTCCTTGTATGTTTTCTCTGAATTCTTCTTTCAATTCTTCTTTCAATTCTTCTTTCAGCTCCTCCATTGCATCGCTACGATGTCCTTGTTTGAGTTCCTGTAAGTGAGTTATGATTTCTTCTAACTTTTGTTCGAGTCCCGCGAGCTCTTCTTTTTGCCTTTCTTGTTCGGTCCTCTCATTTACGGTATACCGAAATTCCTTTCCAATGCTTCTTCTGAAATCACTGGCCATCTGTATCAGGTTTTCTGTTTCGGAGTTCACAATTGTTTGCGTCATTTCCCACGATATCGGTCTCGCATGTCGCCGAACTCTTATCCTCGAATAGCTGTCTGCTATGGTCCGTGGCGTATCCTCCATCGATCAGAAGTTGGTAGACGTCCCACATGATGTACGAGTTCTTCTTGACAAATGACATCTTCGCGATCGAGTCCGTGATTCTTGCCGTCCAGTCCGTGCATTTCAGGAAAAGTTCTTGATTCATTTCCTGTTCTGCGATTGCGTCGCTTCTGATCTCCTTGAATTCTTCGGCTAGTCGAGCGTTGACACTGAGTATGCTGGTGAGAACTTCATAATCCGCCTCCAGTACGTGTTGCACGTCTCGCTCGCTTATGAATCGGCGGCTTCTCGCGAATTTCTCATCCAAGAATTCCTTCGCTCTGCTCATCCTGAAAGAGTCATTTTCTTTTCGAGTGTCCTCTGATGTAACTAAATTCATAAAAAATTCTTCTTTATCTTCTTGTGTTGTGTTAAAAAAATCTTCTTTATCTTCATCTGTTGATTTATCTGTTTTCCTTCTTTGTCTTAAGTTGTATTTGCTTGTCATGTCTGTATGTGTGTGCGATTGTGATTCTTGAGTGACTGGACTTGAATTGCTTGGTGTATAGTCTTCTAGTTCCAGTGGAACAAGATGGTTGATGGGTCTTCTCTGTTTTCTTCCAGAAGAGGCTATGACTTCTGCTTCTCTTGGTGATCCTTCTCTGAATTTCGTTAGATTTGTGATTCTTCCGATTTTCCAAGCATTTCTGGGTTGGTTCTGATCCATTATCAGTACGATTTGTCCAATTTTCGGTGATTGAGTGGTACTCCTTCCTTGGTCTAAGTTTCTTCTGTGGTGTTCGCGGAGATCGATTAAGTAGTTCTTGCTCCATGCATCCCAGAATTTCTTGGTGTAATTATAAGACTTTTTCAAAGCTTCTTGTGCTTCTCTCTTCGTACGTAGTTGAATTGCTTCTTCAGGCGGGAGGTAGTCCTGGTCTTCTTCTTGTTGGCTTTCCTCCGTTTCCATTGGGTACGTAATTATGATGTCCTTCTGAATGAAGTCTATTGGTCTTATGTTCGGATTATCTTCGAAGTTCTTCTTCCTGGTACGTAAGTGGTCGATTGTTTAAGGCTTGCTTCAACTTCCGCCATAAGTGTTTGTAGTGTGTCGAAGTCCAGGACCTTGTTTCCAATCGCCTTGTGTAGAGCTCGCTTTACAGATTGGAACGAGACGTTCATAGAACCCTCCTTGCCAGGGGGCATACGGAGTTATTGTTTTCCACTCAATTGCCTCGTTGGCAATGAACCATTTGGTCTCTTCGCTTTCTTCGAATTTCCTTCGCTGTTTCTGCAAGTATTTGGATTTCCTAGTAGAAACGTCGGTGCGTTGTCGGAGGTTATAGTTCGTGGCACCCCTCTTCTAGCGAAGAATCTCCTGAGTGCGTTGATGAATGCAACTGTGCCATTGTTTTTCACGACTTCTAAGTGGATCATCCTTGTTGTCGTGCAAGTCATGATGCATCCATATGCTTTTTTCGGTTCTTCCTTTTCTTCTCTGTATGTTATTGGACCGAAATAGTCGAGCCCAATATGACAGAATGGATGCGTTTTTAGAACTCGTCTTTCGGGTAGATCTGTCATTCTCGGGTATCGAAATGGTAGGTTATTCTGTTTTTGGCATGGCACACACTTTCGTACGACTTTCTTGGCTTGTTCACGTAGTCTTGGGATCCAGTACTGTCTTCTTACATTGCTCATCGTGTGTGATAGTGAACAGTGAAGTCTTCCATGAGCGTCTCTTATGATTAGAGATGCTAAGTGTGTTTTCGGCGCGATTATTGCTGGTAACTTTTCCTCTTCTGTTAACGAGCTCTTTCCCAGTCGACCATAACATCGTAGGATCCCTTCTTCGTCTGCGTGTACATTGAGTTTCGAGAGGTTATCTTTTTGAAATTCGTCTTCGAACTGGTTCTGATGAGCTCTGACTATCGCTTGCATTGCGCTCCTTACTTCCTTCCCACTTATTCGTCCTTCGTCCTGTGCATGCTGCAGCTCCGGTATTCTTCTGAACATGAGTTCTTTCCTTTGAACTGGAAGGTTTTTCATCGCTTTCTTTATGAAGCGCAATATTCTTGCAGTTGTCCTTTTCAGTTTCGTTATTGATCCGAAGCGTTTGTCTTCTGTCCAGCAATATGGCTTCTCTACTTTAGTAAGGTTGACTGCCACGGTGTCTTCTATACTGAATAGCTGGGTCTCCTCTTGCAACCATGATCTTGAATCCGGTCCTTTCCACCAGATGCTGTCCGTGAAGTCGTTCCCTGATAATCCTCTTGTTCCCAAGTCGGCGGGATTCGATCTGGTGTTGATATATCCGAATCGCAATGTCATGCCTCGTCTGGAAAGGTTTCCTGAGATGTCTGCGATTTCTTTAAATCTGTTTCTTACGAGAACTCCTGCTTCTCTGTGTTTCGCGTTGCTTTTTATCCAACTCAGTGCTATTTCGGAGTCCGATAAGAATGTAAAGATTATCTATTTTAATTTGATTTCTGAACTCTTCAACGGTGTTCAGCGCTAATCTTGCTCCCATTGTTATAGCATTAAGTTCTAGTTTTGGTATGGTATGTTTTGATTTCAAGGATGGGAGTCGTGATTTGGCTGTCAGTATGTTTTGACTATAATTATTTCTTCAGATATATGACTGCGCACATCGCTTCTGAGCTCGCATCTGTAAATATTAATAGCTGATGTGTCGTATTCTTGTCGGCTATTTGTCTTGGAAGATGCTTCACAAAGCCCTTTGTTTCTCTACATATTTTCTGCCAATTTATAGTGTCCTCGTGTGAAAGTTTCGCGTCCCATGTGTAGTCTTTTTTCCATAACTGCTGGAAGAACAACTTCGATTGGATCGTGAGTGGAATTAGGAATCCCATGGGATCGTATACTGATGCCATCGCACTCAGCACTTTTCGTTTTGTTATCTTCGGAATCTCCAAATTCTTATGTCTGATCACGAAGACATCCTCTCGTGTGTTCCACGTCATTCCCAGCGTTGAGGAGTTCACTTCCTGTGACTTGTCCTTCTCCGGAAGTTGGTCGTTGAAGTCGCGATCATTTGAGACGAATTCCCTTAGATTCATGTTGATTTTATCGAAGAGTTCCTTTGCCTCTATGGTATTTTTGGATCGCCTCCTCTGTTGACTCTGCCGTCATGAAGAGGATTATCGACGTATAAATTATTTGTGATGTCTTCTACCAAATCTTCGTGAACTTCTTCGTGTTCCACGTGGAACCTAATTCGTGGCTGCCAACAAGAATGGTGAAGATTTGAGGCCAAAGGTTACCCTCGTAAATCGATAAACGACTATGTTGTCCTCGTCTAATGGTTTTTCCAATGTCTCGTACCCACAGACATCTCGTCGCGTCTCGATCTTCTTCATGTAATCGTACCTGTAGGAACGCTTTTTCCACGTCTGATATGGTTGCTATTTTTCCTGTGCGAAAGCGCATTATCATTCCTATGATTCTTAGGTAAGATTAGCGGACCTTGATGCAACGCGTCGTTGAGGGAAATCCTTCCTTTGTAGTGTGCTGACGCATCGAAGACTACTCTCATTTTTGTTGTCGTTTTCTTCGGCGTTATAACTGCTTGGTGGGCTAAATAATGTACTCGCTTCCCCTTTTTTCTTGGGTTCGTCACTTCTTCGAGAATTCCTTTCTCTAATTGGTCTTGGAAAATCTTGTCGTAGGCTTGCAGAAAGGATTTATCTTCCTTATGCGACTCAAATGTGGATCTTAATCTTCTTTCGGCAATATGTCGGTTGTCCGGTAGATAATCATGGTTCTCCTTCCACGGAAGTCTTCACGTAATAGCCGTCTTCCGCTTTTACTACGGTTCTGTTGAAGTTTTCCAGGACTTGTCGATTTGTTTCTTCTTTCTCCTGTTTTTCGGTGCCTGTGAACTCTTGTAATCCCGCTGATTCTAGCGTCCAGTACGTATCCCATTTTTCTTTCTCCTCCTCCATTGTCAGGGCTATCGCTTTTGGCTTGGTCTGCTCTTCGCCGGATTGCTGTCCGGATACCATGTAGCCAAAAATGGTTGCAATTAGGTGTAATCCTGATGGAAGTTTAATCATGCTGCCACTCATGACTTCCCAGAGTTGATCACACCCTAGGAGGATTTGAGGGGAAAATGGTTTCGAAGGACACGGGATTTTTATGTTGTTGTTTCTGATATAATTCCAATCTTCTTCTCGAAGATGTAGCTGGGATTTTGACTTTGTAATTACTTTACTTTTGAAGAGATTCAGCTTGTGTGGACGATCTTGTGTACTCCTTACTTCTGCTTTGACTTCTTCATAGTCATCTTGTTTCGTTTCATCTGAACCGAAGGTATTGATGCGCAGGGTTCTCTTCCCCGTTACTGGCAACTTGAGGTCGTCGGCTAGCTTGCTGTCTATGAATGACAATTCGGACCCTGTGTCCAGCAATATCCCTACTTCTCTGGATTCGTCAGGTCCGTCTATTTTCACTATTCCACTTAGGAGGTAGGTGACTTCCCTGACTGACGGATCTTTTCCTTTGATCTGCAGGGTTTGTGTTTCTGCTTCTTCTTCTTCTGATATCTCTTTTCTTTCCTCCTCATGTGGCTTTTGCTTGCTTGTTTGCTCCGTTGCTCTGTGGTCTGTGCCTACTAAGTTCTGCTGCACGGAGTGGGTTGTCATTCTGCTTTCTTGGACGTTGACCTCTCTGAGTTCTTTGCTGACTTATGTTTCCCTTAACCCTTTCTGTGGGTTGAACTCCTTGGTTCT